AAAAAAAAAAAAAAAAAAAAAAAAAAAAAAAAAAAAAAAAAAAAAAATAAAATGAACATAGTAATAAAATGCTTGTATTAATTCTTCTGTTTATAAAAAGACTTTAAAGTTCCTCATTATAAATTATCTGAAGAAGAGGTCTAGGTCCTGAAAAGTACTAAAAGATATGAAAAATGGTGACCCTTCACCATATCTTGAATCCAGATTACCAGAAAATGGAATGCATTTGACACCTTTTATGTATCACTTTAAATCTTCTTGACTCACTTCTTATTCCAGCCACAGCTGTGGTGACCATGTAGATTTGGATCAGTTTTGCTCAGGAGTAACTTTACAGGCACAGTGGTAGAGCCACTGACTGATGTTAGATGGAAGCTGATGGACAAAACTTACCCCTTTAGTTGTAGGTGAATACAGTTCTGAAATACAATTCATTAGTTCCCATGGGATGGAGCCAGAGTTGCCCCTAGTGATGGCCAACTCACTCTTTCTCAAATCAGCTATGACCTGCAAGCCTTTGTCTCAGGCTCTGCTTTTTGGGGAGCCAGGCTAAGCACTCAAATAATTATACACCTTAATAAATAATGCTAATAACTAGGGAGAGAGTATATACATTGTTATTTTAGAGTATTTTTTTTGTGTGTTGAGTGTATTTTACTATATTTTAATTCTTTTAAAATTAGTAGTCTTTGCATGTTAAATTTTAATCATTTGGAATATTATATCCAGTTAAGTATGCAATCCCTTTTTCCATTTATTTTGGGTCAAAAGCAATTTAATTCAGTAGTGAGGCAAAATTTAACATTGTTTACTCATTCCTGGATAGAAAAATCACTTCAGGTAATATTAATGAGTAAAATTCTTTACTCCAGATAATTTTGTTGTGGACCCTGTATCCCTACAGAATTGCAAACCTGTTCAATTCATGTGGGGAATGTATGAGGAGAGGGTGAATAAATGAGTTATGTTCCAAATTTCAGATGCAGAGAACAGTAAATTCACCAACCATTTCTACTTAAAGAGTAGAAGTTCAAAAAGGAATCACTAGCTGCTGTATGAATTAAATACTATAAATGTCAGTGTAGGTTCATTTTTACTATGCTCTTGGATTTCTAATAAATCCCGGAAGGAGTATCCAGTTCTACATGCCAATTACAGCTACAAACTCTTACATTAGGTTGCACAACAGATCAAGGAGACAAAAGAATCCTTTACCAGAAAATCAACCTGTCTGAACAAAAAGGTAAGAGCAATTCAGCAGTCAGATGGACTATGAGTTGATGTGAACCACACCTACTTAAACAGAAAGCTGGCATATTTTCTTCCAATTCTTCACAGCTGCCTTCCAGAGGCTAATTTTTTATTTGATATGATATCTCCAGAGTTCAGTTGTGAGTTTTGTGTGCTTGGTAAAATATATCGGATTATCTTAAGATATTTGGGAATAATTAAACTTTTACCTGAACTGGAAAAATATTAATTACTATTGCTTAAGAACTAATTATTGAGGAACTCTATTATGTTCTTTCTTTGAGGTTTTCCTTATTGATGTACGACATGCTAAAGGAAGAAATGTTTTTGACTTATAATTTACTTTTAATAGTTGTATTATACCAGAGCTTAATAGAATAACTATCACTTGAGTAGGTGAAAAACTGGATACGATGAATGGGGAAGTGACTTAAGCCATCCCCCATTTGGACTGAATCACTGCTGTGGTTGTTTGTGTTTCCTTCTTTTTAAGTCCCTTGGCTTACACTCAAAGGCTGGAACTCCTGTAGATTTACCTCTGAATCAAGGAGTCAACAGTGTAACCTAAGAGACTTTGTTTATAGAGTACCCTATAAAGGAAGTGACAAAAAACAATGGCACTATCCCTGCCAAGGAGGAGATTGCATCAAAGAATAATAAGACAAAGCAGTTTTAAAAAACAGCTTATCGAGTGTGCATTGGCCTTCTCCTGTGGGCCAGGAATCAAAGAATAGACATTGGGCCCTGCCCTCAATGAACTTGGAGTCTGGTGGAAGAGATGGACAATTAAGTAGGTCATTTAAAATCAATGTGATAAGTGCTATGACAGAAGTATGCATAGAAAATTGGATGTATGAAGAAAAGAAACTCAGCATAAGTGGATGACAGTAGGAACTGGAATAGCTGATGGCAAATATTCTTTGGAAGAGAGTCAAGAAATTTATTTCACTGGGGGGAAATAGGCAAAATTCACTGATTGTTGAACACTAGATTAGAAAAAATGCTTAGATGCTCTCTAAAAGGGCTTTTTGAATCAGGAATGCAGCAGGTCCACAAGCATTGTTCATATTTGCCAGCATTAGGAAGTAAGAAATGTAACTGTGGATGCACTGGTAAGAAGGAGGAGGACTCAAAAGTCCTATTTCCAGTGATTATTTTTTCCATAAAAGAAGAAATATGAAACAGATAATGACAATGAAAACTAAACTGTATGATACTAAAGTATAAGAAAACTTGGCAGCAGTTGTAGATTCATTTATAATGTACATTTTACATAGACCACGGGCTTTAACTCTACTTAGGTCAATGTATTACTTGAGTCCAAATACTATATTAGCTGATTAATCCTACTTTTTAGATAGTTTCCCTATGGTTTTAACATTAGAAATATAGAGGAACTCAGCTGCATTCTCTTATGGAATGTGCTTTACAGGATATTTGAAAATGTTCATGTGGTAGATTTCTGAAAACTCTAAAACCATAAATGTACATAGATTTATTGAGCAAGCTAATTACTATAAATTTTTTTTTTGGCACAGAAATCATCATCCTCCACCATGATGATTCATGGTGGAAGTTCGTTTATAATACTTTCACCAAAAAAAAAAAAAAAAAGCTACTCTGGAGCTTTAATATCTGCATTAAAAAGCAAGGGAACAGAACATAGACCTGATTGCAGTTGAACAAAATTTGAATTTTTTACTTACTGCAGGTTTTGATTAGTCACCTGGCTGTGTATTCAGCCTCAACAAATGCTTTTCTTTATGATCCTAATTAGACTAAAAATTATCTCTCAATTTACATATTGTCATCCCCCAAAGTTATGTATATAAGTTTTTCACTGTATGTACCTTCAATGTTTACCATTTTGACTCTGAAGATATACTGTTTAAGATTGTATAAATATAGTTAATTAAATCTTTACACATGGATTACATTAAATTAATAACGAGTTGTATACACAGGTGGGAGTTTCTATTTTTATTTTTGGCGATAGGTGGTAGCTTTTAAAGGAGATGTTTTTAACCTTTATGCAGATGTTAAGAAATGTGGAAGATCAGGAATATCTATTTTTATTTAATATTATATATGCTTCTCCTTTGACTCAGGCCACTGTTGATTTTAAGCCTTGGAAGCAGTACAAAAGCTTATTGTAATGAAGAGAGGACAAGACATGCACTGAGAAGTATGTTTAGAAGTAGTTTATGTAGTGAACACTGAATAATATACGTAATAACATATATCTTATGCTTTTGATATGCCATCCCTGTATTTCTACGGGGCACTTTTAAGGACACACGTTGAACAGGAAGTTAATATTTAGGACTAGTACTTCAGTTTGGAAAGTTTCCAGCTTGGTTCTCCCAGGTGCCTAGACACCTTGTGAAGGTCTGCACATTGTTGGAACAGTTCTGGTGTCTCATCCAGCAGAGAACACTGCGCGGATTCATTTCAGTTCATGCCCAATGCTTTCTTTTCTTTTTTTTTTTTTCCTTTTTGTCTTTTTTCGTGTCTGGCAACGGATCGCAACCCTCAGTGTCGCGCCCGTACCGGACTGGACCAGCAATGGGATCGCAACCCTCGGTGTTGTGCCTGCACCTTGCTCAGCCAGTGAGCGGGAACCGGTCTGTATGTGGGATCCGAACCCTCGGCGGGAGGGCCTCCGCGCTCCCAAGCGGCGCACTGTAGCAGTGCGCCACCGGGCCGGCCCTCCCAACGCTTTCTTTAGAACCATCTTAAGAGGAAGCTTCTCCAAGAAGCTTTTCCTCTTATTTTCCTCTTCTTACATAATCCTTTAACTTTATATTCCCTTGCCAATTTGCTCAAAGTAGTTTTTTTTTTTTTTTTTCCCTTTTTGTCTTTTTTCGTGACCGGCACCGGATTGCAACCCTCAGTGTCGCGCCTGTACTGGACCGGGACCAGCAACGGGATCGCAACCCTCGGCGTTGCGTCCGCACCTCACTCAGCCAGTGAGCTGCCGGTCTGTATGTGGGATCCGAACCCTCGGCGGGAGCGCCACCACTCTCCCAAGCGGCGCACTGTAGCAGTGCGCCACTGGGCCGGCCCTCAAAGTAGTTTCTGATGCAAAATCACCA